TTGCACATCTGCAATCCTGAGGTGCAGTTCTCAACAGTTTATATGTATCAAAATATGCATTTGAATATGTGTTTTAAGAGAAAATGCTTACTAAATACATATTTGAATTAGTGAGGGATGATCAAACTACTTTCAGTCTGTACCGATTCTGCATACATTTTGTTTTCATAAGTCTGTTCTATCCCATTTTGGCATTAACCAGACGATGTGGGTTTTCTGCTCGAAACAAAATCATCAACATGAACATTTGTATTTTTATCTGGGTAAAATGCAGATTGTATAAGCATCTTCTGCTAAAGTGCATTGTATGTAGGTTCATGCATTTTTAACCTGAAAACTCCATTGCAACATTCAGGAAAGTTCAAAATCAGAACACTCAGATAACTGTGCAACTCAGGGAGTGTGAACCGGGTTGGTTCGCTTCCAAACATGGGATGACTAAACCCCTTAAGCATCCCTAATTTAAATACCCATTTTTAAAGGATTTTATTTTTAATTGCAGATAAACCTGGAGATGGAGCAGGATGTTTCAAAACAGACATCTGCAACAGCAGAGCTAGTAAAGACCCTCACAAGCAAACATTCCCACCTCGCTCTTTTCCAGAGACCTTGGGCAGGCCTTCCCAGTAAACAATGTGGCCTTAAATGTCAAAGAGGGTTGACTCCATTTGAGGAGTGCGCTGAATCTTCCATTGTTGGGTGGTGCTGGTGCTTTCTGGTTTCTCTGATAAGGTAAACAAGAATGCCCGTCTGCATGCACGCCAGATAAGGCGCTTGCACCAATGGGCTGTGCCTTTTCTCTATCACAGGAAACATGGCCTGCCTTTCTGGGGGCGGGGGGGGCAACTTCCTTCTCTACTGGGAAAGACTCAAGCTGGTTTTCCCCAACCTGGTGCCCCACCTGCAGTTCCCATCCTTCCTGGCAAGCACAGCCTAGGTGTGGCTGAGGCCACCTAGAGCCCCTGCCTCCCCTCCCATGTGCCCCCTGGCACTTTCCTTCTATGTTCTCAAAATACCATTTGCACGTCCAAATGTGCACAAAATAGCTCCCCCTCCCCATTGCTGGGCATGCATTTTGCAAATCTCCAAACCCCTAAAGGCTGGTGCAAAATTCACAGTCACAAAACTCATAACTTTTGTAAACAGAATACTTACAGCTACATCAAAGCTCTTTTCAGCTCACTCCTGCTTCTCTTTCAGACCTTATGTGGTTCATTCAGACATGAATATTGTGCCTTTGCATGGAAAAGGGGCACCTTGCAGTACGTGCTTTTACCGTATTGATTTAGCATGGTGTAGTGGTGTTGGACCGGGGGCCTGGGAGGTCTGGTTCTCATCCCCACTCAGCCACAGAACTCACCTGGCAATTCTGGGCCACTCAGATTTTCAGCCTAACCTCTCACAGGATTCTTATCATTGTGAGGTTGAAATGGCAGCAAGGAAAAGCTTGTAAGCCAGTTTGGGTTTCTAGCAAGAGGAGGAAAGGTGGGGTGCCAGTGCAGTGTGATGATAATACCAGTACATTTAAGCACTGTGAATGGCTCCTAGCCCAGCATCAGGGAAGGGATGCCCAGGAGTATTGGCTGTTATGGGCACAGGTTGGCCACTGCATGCACAGAGTGCTGGACCAAGACACACGTGCGCCATTTTGCACATGACCTTCTGTGTGACTGCAGTGCGGTAGCTCCTTCACATGTCAGCGTCACCTGCCCACCACAGATGCTGACAAAAGGGAGGAAGCCAAGTTGACGAAGAGGAAGGTGCTGGCAAGGCCACGTGGCAGTGCCCACAACTTTGAGCCCAAGCTGCCGGCCATGCCCTCCCCGTCCCAGAAGGGTCTTTGCTGCCACCAGATCTGTGCAGGGGTGGCAGAACTTGGGCAACCAAGAGCTGCCATCCTTCGAGGGCCTGTCCCAGTAACCAGGCCAGGCAGAGGGAACCTGGACGAGGGCTCCCAAATCCCTGCCCAGGGGCCACACCAGCAGACCAGGCTACCTGCCTGCTTCGGGCAGCTGGCTCGGTGGGCCAGGAGAAGGGCATGACGCATCCTGAGTGCTTTCGTTTACTAGTGCCACTGCATTTTTACAGCCAAGGAGAGGAGCATGTGGGGTTTTACTATCTCAGAGGCCACAACAGTATGGCCAGCCTCAGATACTGCAGCCCTAGGCCTGGGGACTGGGCAGAACTTGATCTGCATCCTCAGGCAGCAAAATCGCTCCCTTGCATTTCCCACTGGGGCAGCTAGTTGTGAACAGAATGCCAGGCTGGAGAGGCCTTCTGGTCTGATCCACAGGATTCTCCTAGTCACACGCCTGGGGCTAACCTTGTCTCCCTTGCAGAAGCTGGCTGCTCACTGTGCTTGGTCCTTTACTGCCCATGTGCCATCCACCATGCAACCTCCTGAGCCACTTGCGCATCCCATTCCAGAGGACCTGGGGCTGGGCTGCCAAGCAGAAGCACAAATATCCTTCTTCAGTTGCAACAGGGGCAGAGAATGTGCGATGCGCCAGATGCTGCTGGACACCCATTCTTCCTTTCTGGGCTGGCTAAGGTTGATGGGAACCGCAGTCCAACATGCATCCCACTCTTGAATCCAAGGCAGAGAAAAATGCCTAGCTCCTGCTTCCTACATGCACACACGTGCACACACACTTGTCCTACTTCACAGGGTTGTTGTGTAGTTAAATGGAATGAATCATATACACCATATTGAGCAATGTGAAGGAAAGAAGGAATAAGACTATGATACAATCATGTGTTTTTCTTACATTTTCATGCCTTATGTATACATCCCTCTACCCTGGAAGAGGCTGAAGCGGATTGAGTTCAAGCTGACAATTATTATCCCTCATTTTGATGCTGAGCAGATTCCCAAAACACAGGAGAGAAATGTGGGAACAAAGTGTATTAAGGGGTGCGCAACTGGCCTGCATCAGCTGGGCACACACCCAAAGAGTGCAAAAACATTCTTGTTTGCAGATACATAGCACTGCTTGGCACATCTTTGCATAGGAAATCCAAACACAGAAGCAAGTGTCACTCCTGAAAAATGTGCCAAGGACATTTAAAAATCTACAGCGTTTACCATCAACAAGTTGCTTTGCACCTCTCCATGCTTCTGGGGACCCCTAAATCTCTTTGGGCACTGCTTGAAGTGCAAGGCCATTCATGTTTACACAGGTCCTGTGCATAAGGCTGGGAGTGCAAGGTGCACCACATCTTAGCATTCATGACAGAAGTGACAAACTGTAGTCTGCTAATCATAAACCCATCAGCTGCTCAACGCTTTCCCACATCTGCAGGAAATAAGGGCCCTCTGACCCCACGCTCAGCCCGAGGATACCAATCTATCATCAGTGACCAAGCATGCTGAGCTAGCAGCTGACAGGAGGGTTCCTAGACCTGGGAACAACAGTGGGAAGAAAAACAGAACTCAGGGGTCGGAGGAAGGGGCCGGAGGAGGAGCCGTTCGCTTGTGGACTGCAGCCAGCTGTGGCTTCCCAGTTAGTGCACAACCATTTTGCAAGCCCTTCTGCCTGCCACTCCAGTTTCCAGAAAGGTGGGCAGTGTGGTCTATCCTGAAAAAAAATGCAAAAAGAATCTTCCAACACCTTAAAAACAGACATGTGTTTTCTGGCAGCTTCCACAAACTATCTGCAGGGCTGCTGTAGCTCACTCCTGCTGAGAAACTGGGCCCATGTGAGAACCCCATCCAAACCCCGTTCCCTAGAAGGCCTCACTCCTTCCCCTGACCGCACCCATTTCCCCACCACCAGTCAGTCAGTCAATGCTTTCCCGGGTTCTGTGCACTTTTCCCCATTCGAACGGCTCAAAATGCCTCTCCTAAAGTGTGATTGGCTTTTAAGCGAAACCACCTGGTTATTTTTGTCCCCACTCCTCTGCCTTCAGCCCTGGAATTCAGCTCCTGGGAACATCACCAAAAGTAAGTATGGTCCTTGGGCTGAGGCCAGTTTTGCACCCCTTGACTTAAGTCCGTTTGCCCTGATGAGGTCAGTTGCAGTCCACAAAAGTTTATCCCATAACACATTTCCTAAGTTTTTATGGCACAACAGGACTCTGATATGTGATTGATGATTGTGCATAATATATTCCATTTTAGTACTGTTTAAGTGCTGGAAAGCATTTCTTTTTCCCCCTATGGGTGTTCCCCAAACAGGCTTTGTAGTCAAAAGGCCTAAGTTGTGTCAAATCAGACTTGTAAATATTCACCCACGTCTGATTAATATAGCAATGTCTGCAAGTACATACATCAGGAAATTTCACCACCTCATTTGTAAACCTCCTCATGGTGAGACAAACTTGCACGAGCTGAGCTATTTCTTCCGACCTTCAGGTGCCTGTTTCAGCCTGACTGGCCTACTGAGTTTTTGCAAACCAGTATGAAGATGGTGATATCGCATTTCTACTCTGCCTTTCTTCCTCCTGCAAGTTTTTCGACTACCCGATGAGGTAGGCTAGACTGAAAGGCAGTGACTGGCCCAAGTGACACGGGGCTTCAGGGCTGCGTGAGTACTAAACCCAGGCCTCCCAGGTTCCAGCCCGTCATACTTCGGCTGAAGGAGCTTCACCCCAGGCAGACCTAGTCTGGGTAGGAGCAACAGAAACATGATGGACTACTTCTGGAATTTGACCTGTTGGCAGCTAGGAGTATCGCTGTCACATCCTTACACCATGGCTACTGTAATGGACACAAAACTCTGCCTCATGCATTCTCGCCTTTTTCAAGCATCTGCAGAATCCTCTCCAGCAGGTCTCCTCCTCCTGCTAAGCCCTTGCGGTAGACGATTCTGACAGCGCCTTCTGCTGGCCCTGCCATCGCCTTAGGTCAACCGATCCTTTGAAGAGGTTTCACCACCGTTTCTGATGAGTGAAGTCACCCACCCCCGCTTCCAAGGACCCCAAGGGTTTGGAAGCAACAGTGGAACCATTCCCTCCCCTACCCCATCCCACCACACACACAAAATGATCAGAGCTCAAACTTTGAAACCATTCTCAATTCTTTAATTTCAGTGGCAGACCCAGGGTCCAAAAAGCCAGCCGCCTTCCCCCATTCGATGCACAAACATTCCTTGCAAAAGAAATGTACAGTTTCCTGAGTTGTGGCAGTGTGAAGATCTTTGGCTTCTCCTTGAATCCCAAAGCCTTGGAGGACAGATACTATTCAGTTTACCCATTCTAGGCAGGGCGCAGGGCCCGCGAGGCCTTCTGAACTGGGACTCTCTGCTCAGAGGTGGGGGCCATGCTGTGGGTGGGAGTGCTCCTTCTGAAAGCCAAATCCTGCCTTCAGCAAGGAAATGCATGGAACAGAACTAGCACCTGCAGAGTCATGCCAACGGAGCCCCTCTTAATGGAGCAGATCTTCCTAGCGGGATACTCCTGTGCCGCCGAGGTCCAGATGCAGAGCCCTCCTCCATTCCTCCTTGCTTCACACCAATGCACTTCAGCAGCCTGGTGGGGCCGAAGGACGGGGCCAACCCACACATCCAAAGGGAACGAATCAGAATCACCGAAATCCAAACAGGAAGAAACTCTGGCGGGCCTGAGCGTGTTCCCTGGGCTGCGCCCGCTAGTTCTTCTCAGGCCGGTTGCGGTTCAGCACAGCTTTAGGGGCAAATTCCAGCTTGTCCTTCAGGCTGACCACCTGGGTGAGGTCTTTCCCAGCACTCTCCTGCAGTTTGCGGTCCTCTCGCCTCTCCGAGATGCTCTGCTCAGCTTCTGGGGGCAGAGGGGGTGGCTGGCCACGGAGGAACCACTCCAAGTGGTAGCCCACCGCCCCCACAACAAAGGCCACGGGGAAGGTAACATATGGGGCGTAGGCCCGCACAGTCGCCCAGAGGACGGGCCACATGGTAGCCACAGGTTCTGCTGACACAAAAGGAGAAGACAGCTGATCATTCCCAGCCTACTTCTGACCCCCAGCACCACTGGTCAGAGCTGAAGCCTACACCAGGGCAGAACATCAGAACGTGGGCTGGATCTGGCCCTCTGGGATTCCCCCAAAGGGCCCCAGCCCCTTCTCCCAACCACCAATCCTTCCAAGGTTTCCTGGTTTCCATGCAGTTTTCCCCATTCAAAGGGAAATGACCCTCCGAGGGTTTCATTCCTGGCTGGAAGAGCTTTAAACTAAAGTATGATATTTCTTGCCCCACTCAACAATGAAATGTGACCGCCAAGATCTCCCAGGAGGTCTTGGGCTGAAGGAGGTTCTCTGCCACCAGCCTGAGCCTACGCTGCAGATCCCATTCTCTGCTGGAAAGGGCTTCGTCTTCATGGTGCGGGCTTCATCTTTTTTTTAAACCGGCATTTTCTTTCCCCAGATTTCCAGAACTGCAGAAGGCTAACTAAAACAAAGGGTCCTGTAGCACATTAAAGGCTCACAATAACGCTAATAATCTTTAAGATGTCACCAGACTGCTTTCATCACTTCTGCTGGATGGCTGCTTGAAGAGCTATTGACCACTCAGGGCTCTCCGCTTGCGGAGATGGAAATCAAAGGGGCTTGTTGGAAGCAGAATGGATTATCTCCAGTGCAGCTGGCTATCAAGGCTCATTCATGAATGCACCCACCCACAGACACTGTCCCCGCGTGGTCTGCCAACGTGCTGGACTGCCACTCCCGATCTTCCAGCCAGCCATCAGATGCTGAGAAAGTTCAGGAGGTTCAGCCTGCATGGTCCACTGCGAGCTTGGGCTTCTGGGAACCTCTGTCTAAGCGATGAGCTGCATCACTGCAAAAATAATGTTTTCTCCAGGGAAGTGGTGTGCACAGTAATCATGATGTGGAAAGAGAACATAAAAAGCACTTTTCTGGATGTGTGTGCGCGCACGGGTGCATGCATGCTTTACAAAACTTCAGCCTGAAGCTCAAGTGCACTAGAGCTGAATACAGCATAAGCAACACGCAAGGCAGCCTGCAAACCGTCCACTTCGCCACAGCTCATTTTCATTTTCCATGCTCTGATGTTTGGAAAACACACACACATAGATCTAGAAAATGTCTCTGACTGTGGGATGGGGTGGGAGAAACTGAGAAAATAACCTTTCTTCCACAACTCCAAGTTTATCTTCCCTCATGGACAAAACATAAACAAGAAACAAAGCAAAAGTTGTCCAGCTCTAGAGTAAGTGAAGATTTTTTTAAAATCACCCGGCAATGCCAACTATCTCAGAAATTGCTGCTTGAGTACGATTTTGCCACCCCTTCCAATTTATAGAGCCATTCTTAGAGTGTGGCACGGTGGTTAAGAGCAAGGGACTGGGACTTGGGAGACCCGGGTTCTGGTCCCCGCTTGGCCATGGAGCCCACTGGGTGACTTTGGGCGAGTCACAGACTCTCAGCCCAGCCTACCTCACAGGGCTGTTGTTCTGGGGATAAGATGGAGGGCAGGAGGAGTATTATGCAAGCCACTTTGAGTTCTTTGTAAGAAAAAAAACAGGCTATCCTATCATCTTCCATAGTGACGCATAGAAAAAGCCGAACTGCAAAATGAAAAGCAATAAACTGAACAGAAAATTATTAAAACCACTTCTGTGCTGTTTTGCTGTTAAGAAAAACAAACACTGCAGAGGTGTCCTTAGGAACCTGGAAAAATAAGACAGTGTTTGCATCCAAGTGGTTAACTGCCAGGTGAGCTTCCCCGGAGCATTCCACAGATGGGGTGTCACCACCAAGAAGCCCTTGCTTATCCCAGTGCCTGAGCAGCCTGAAGTAGGAAAGGTGAGCTCTCACATATCCAAATCCCAAGCTACCTGGGGCTTTAAGGCCAGGGTGCCCTTCCAGATGCCACTGAACTTCAACTGCCATCATCCTGAGCTGATAATGGAAGCCACAGTTCAACAGCCTCTGGAGGCCTACCCATTTCCCACTCTGCTTTTAAAGCAAGCACTAGCACTTTGAACTGCACCAGATGGAGACATATGCCAAGCAGTACTTGGACTTCAAAGTGGGGCTGAATCTCTAAAAAACCCTCCCCCCCCCCCCGCTCCAGCCCTGAAAGCCTACAGACCCAACTCTCTGGAGGAGTGCCAAGCCATCCAGAACAGCTTCAGCAGCTGCCCTGAGCCGATGAACCACTCAGCAGCTGAGCGAAAGGCCACAGCCTTTTACCTGCTCATGCAGGCGTTACCCCGCTGAACCCAACGGATCTAAGCAAACAGACGCAGGGCTGGCTCCTATTTTGCAGCTATCTGGTAACAGATTTAAGGGGTTCTGCACCTGGGCCACTTATCTAAGGAAGCCAAGAGAGAAAAGACTTGGGTAGGGATGCTGTCCTACAAAAAAGTCACAGCTAACCTCCGTCGGTGTTTTCGCACAGGCAACATACGCAATGCTTGAGAGAGCTCATTGCATAAATTAGCTGGTCCGAGCAGTGGTCCTCCAGCACCACCTGCTGGCATTGAACCTCGAGGTAAGAGGGGAAGCCCCTCAACACCAGGAGCCCAACCTGGGACTATCAAAAGCCAGACAGTTAACATCACACACCCCTCAACACACGGGTTCTTTTCTAGATGGCCAAGGAAGCTAATTCTTATTTACTTCCACACGTAACACCTCCATGTTTACCACCTTTAGGAAAGCACACAAAAAATTGCATTTAGGGTGCAATCCTAGGGATATTTAGAGCAAAAGAAAAAAAAGTCCCATAATTCCCAGGTTCTTTATTGGCTGGGGCATTCTGGGGGATATAGTATTTTTCCCCTGCCTCAGTGTGCCTAAGATGGCACACTTAATTGCATTTAATGTGCAAAAAGCCAATGGTGTGTTAGAATAACTTGCTGTTAAAGAGTGCAGAATTTACTGAAATATGAGAAGACACAGTGGTATGAATCACTTTAATGCAACACAGTAGACTGGGGATGATAGGCATTGCAGTCCAAAGCATTTGGAGGACACCAGGGGGGCTGCTCTGCATTTGATGGGGAAGTGGAACAGTGGTTTGCTTCCCACAGGCGTGGCCCCCAACACACAACCCCCCCAAGGCTAGGCCAAAGCTGATTGGCATTCAGTTGCATCATTTGAGGCTCAGTGCTGCCTCTGAGCATAAGGAGACTATCTTTCCTTTCACCACTAATTCATTTCTAAATTATTAATCAGAGTTTTATACCAGGACGCAGTCCTATAGATATTTAGCCAGAAACCTGGGGCCCTTTTCCAAGGCTTCTTTGCGTTAGTAAGCTTTCAGCATTTACTACCTCTGCAGTTCCATTATTTTTAACAACGAGGACTAGTAACTTATCCTTGGAGGAAAATAGCAATGCTGTTTAGTTGGCTAACTTCATCACTACACTCTAAAATCTGCCAGTTATGCCCATACGCTTAAATTTAACAGACTGTTAAACTGCTCCAAAGTTTTAGCCCAGCAGTGTTGGAGTTATTAGTATCATCGTTCCATTGCATTTATATTCCACCTTTCTTCCTCTTGCAAGGAACCCAAGTCAGCTCACAAGTTTCTCCCCTCTCCATTTTATCCTTGTAACAACCCTGATAGTCAGGTTAGGCTGAGGCGCTGAGGCCTTCACGGCTGAGGACCCTGCCAACCCTCAGCTACCAGTTCACCACTCTTAACCTACTGCACTACACTGACTGTCACGTTAGCAAAGCACTGACTGGGCAGCATTCTAGTCCTGAAGGATGCAGTCTTATGCTCATTTGGACATGCTGGTTGGGGAATGCCAGAAACTGTAGGCTTTTTCCCCCCTCCCCTAAAAGAGAGCCAGTGTGGTGTAGTAGTTAAGAGCATGAGACTGGGACTCAGACGATCTGGGTTCGAGTCCCCACTCGGCCATGGAGCCAACTGGGTGACTTTAGGCCAGTCACAGACTCTCAGCCCAACCTACCTCACAGGGTTGTTGTTGTGGGGACAAGATGGAGGAGGAGAATGATGTAAGCTGCCTTGAGCCCTTTGTAGGAAAAAGGCAGGATATAAATAGAAAAACAAACAAACAAACAGGCACAGAATTGCATCCTTAATGTACTAAAATCACTAAGTGCACTAATCTCGAAGTTGCTTGCAGCTTGCAGCCGTCTGAGATTGGGGCACCAGCTCAGCCCTAGCACCTCTTCTAAAAATGTTATTTATTAAACCAGAACTGCATTCTCACCATGATAGGGAGAAGGAACTTGGCACGGTAGCAAAAAACCGCCACTGCGCTCCCTGCACCTGCCATCCAAATATTTTTGGTGTTGTAACACCCTATCTTCTCCCATTCCCAAAGGAGAGGCCAGCAGGGAAGGCACACGGCCCAGCAATGCCCCTCTGAAAACTATGGCTCTGGGGAGGAAAGGCAGGCAGGTCTCCCAGAGAGTTCTCCTGGCAAAAGCAGCCACGCTCTGGGCTTGCCGGGAGCTCAGATACCAAAGTTCCCGAGCAGAGCCAGGCACAGGATCGGGGTTAGCAGCCTGGGGTGCAGCACCCATAATCTTCTGCACCCCACGAGCCACGCACTGGGATGCACAGAAAAGGCAGCGGGAGAATTAAAGCCACCAGGAGCTCTAAGGCAATGCTGCAGAATCAGTCGGTGGGGCTGAGTGGAGGTCAAGCGGGCAAACGCCCCCATTTTGCCGAGCGGAACAGGAAGGCAGGAGCAAGCAGAGGTTTGCTCTTCCCTTGCCCTTGCAGCAGCAGGGCCCGGGGGCCGTGCTGCCTCCGCCCACGACACAGGCCAGGGGAACGCGCGAGAAGCGCAGCGGAGCCCGGGGCAGATCGAGGCCAGCGGACGGCCGGTCGGCTTCCCCCGGCACCCAGGACCAGCATGCGCGACAGGCGCGCCCCAAGCGCCCCGTCCCACGCCGGAGGAAGCGCCCCGCCAGCAGGGCCCGCGATGGCCTGGCCTGGCCTGGCCTCGCCCGCCCCCCCCCTTTAAACTCCCACCATCCCTCCCCCATGCCTGCGCGGGCCGGGCAGATGGGAGCTGCAGCCCCCCCGCGCTCGTGCCAGGGCCACATGCAGCCAGCGGCCCCGCGGCGGGGCGCGGCTCGTCCCCCCACGACCTCCCCGCGCGCGCCGGTCTCCCTTCGGGCCAGCCGGGCTCGGGGCCGCGCCTGCCCTCCCAGCTCGGGGCCGGCGCGGCTCCGGCAGCCCCCCCCAGACTCACCTCCTCCGCCAGCCCCGCGCCCAGCCAGGCCCCGCGCGGCTCCCAGCCAGCCAGGCAGCCCTGCGCAGCCGCCTCCGCCGGGCGCGCTCGGCTTCCTGCCGCCGCTCCATTGGCCGCGGCCCTCCGCTCCCGCCGCCGCTCATTGGCGGCGCCGCTCAGGCCGCCCCGGCGCGAAGGAGGCGCCCGGGGACGGGGCCCGCAGCCCGAGCTGCGCTGGCCGTCGCCGCCGGCAGGCTGGCGGCTGGGGCGACGGGCGGCAGCACCCGCGGCCCAGGCCAGCGGGCCCACGGGCACGGCACGTGCTCGCGCGCTCTGGAGCCTCGCGCGTCGTTCAGGGAGCCTGGCCGCTTGCAGCAGGCGGGCCTGGACGGCGGGGAGAGCGGGTTCGATTTGCTGGGCGGGGCGCGACGCGACGGAATGCAATTCTGCGGGGACAGTTGCCAGTTCTGCTCCCAGGAAAGGGAGCCGCGTGCACGGCTGCGAGACGGGAAATGCTCAGCCCGACAACGCTAGCAGTGAGCGGCTCGTGGAACTGTTGTGGAGCGCACGCTGAGTGTGAACCAGCCGTGTGATGTGGCCGCAAAAAAGAGCACAAGCCATTTGGGGCTACCTTAACATGTTGGGCTAGTTTCCAAAATTCATGAGGTGCTGGTTCCCCTCCATTCGGCTCTGTTTAGGTCTCATACGGAATATTGTGGCCGGTTCTGGGCACCAAACTTCAAGAAAGATGTAGACAAATTGGACAGGGTTCAGAAGAGACAAACAAAGATGCTCAGGGCTGGAAACAAAACCCTGAAAAAATGGGTATGCTCAGCCCAGAGAAGACTGGTGGAGATAGGATAGTGCTCTTTAAATACTTGCAAGGCTGCCACACAGAGGGCCAGGATCTCTCCATCATCCCAGAGTGCAGGGCTCAGAACAACAGGCGCAAACTACAGGGATCCAGGGATCCAGGTTCTGGCTAGAAACTGATTTCAGCAAGTGGGTTCATCCCCTCATGGAGATTTGGGGCTCCACAGAAAGGACTTGGGACTCCAGCCCAAGTAAGCATCCCCTAATACCACATCAGGCTACAGCCTAATGGCTCCAAAGCTACCTATATCTTGTTTTGGGAGCAGGTTCCTGAGTAAATGGATGCAGGTTTGAGTCATTGCACCAAAATCTTACTTCTGAATAAATATGTTTATGTATGTATTTCA